GGGGATGTGAAAACAAAACTGATATAAAATTACATCCTTAAGTGACAATTTCAAGAGGTGATTAATCACAGGGAACAAAATATGGCACTTCGATTATATAGACGTTTTTCATGATAATAAATATTATAATGTACTGCAGTAACATACAATAGTTCTGATGATTTTTAACAACGACAGAAGGTAAAAGCGTAGGAATGTTAATCTACTTCCCTATACATCACAGAAATACATGAAATCTTCAAACTTCCTTAATCTGCTACAAAAACGGGAAACAAAAATATAAAATAAATCTGTGAAAGAATTTATAACTATAACGCAAAATTGCAAGACTTTTCCCCAGCCCGTAATGTGTCCTCTTACTCTTACCGCATCCTCTTACTCTTACCTTGGCCGCTTTCTCATCGCGTACCAGGAGGCAAGAGATTTACAACAACAAGGCGAGACATTGTATGATAGAATGAGTTAATAGAAGCTCGCCGACAGGATAACGGTTTTTAGATTTAGTAGAGGTTTTTCGGCGCTCGAACTGCATAAGGCCGCCAAAATGGCATTTGGGCGCCAAGGGGTGGATGTCAACAGAGAAGTCCTTACAGGATAACGGTTTGTTTGTTTGTTTGTTTTAGTAAGGTTTTACGGCACGCTCGCAACTGCATTAGGTCATATGAGTGCCAAGGGATGGATGTCAACAGAGAAGTCCGAACGGGGAATCAGGCTTACTCTGCTCATCTCCTCTCTAGCTTCAGCAGCACAAAGTCTGCTCCGACTATCAAGGCACCCCGGAAACAGCAGTTCACAAGAGAATGGCAAACATACAAAAGAAGTAGAGGAACAATGACAATAATAATAAGTACAAGGAAAGAAAAAGCAGAAGTTCTCCCATGTTGTTCCAGCACAGTATGAGCACGACATTGATAAATCAGCCCATTTACAATTCTACAGTGCATAAGAACATGCTAATAACGCCCTTTGAGAATGGCTTAAAGACAACTTCAGTCAGTAGCACTGCCTGCTTTGGGGGGGGGGGAGGGGGGTGTACGGTGTGAAGTTGGGGAAAAAACAAATGGACATACTTAGATAAAAGAGGAAGGATATTACAGAAGGACTTGCCTGCGGCGATTTTCAACCATAAGAGCAAGCCACTGAAACTTGGAGAGAAAAGTGTCATGTCAAACGCAGAAGAAACTGGAACCAGCACTGTACTCATCATGTGGCCCTCTTGGCTAGAGTGAGCAGGAGTAACTGAATTTTTTTGTGGAGTGATGGGAACCGGGGGTGGGGAGGGATACAGAAAACATAACCTCCTCCAATGTTGTATCAGTATGACTCAGCTTGGGAAATGTGGAGTCACATATTCTGTGCTGGTCATCTGAGGCTTTATGGTGCAATCTCCATCTCTGCCCTCACTATTGGAGGAAGGAGGAGGAGGAGGAGGAGGGAGGAGAGAGGAGGAGGAGGAGGAAGAAGGAGGAAGGAGGAGGAGGAGGAGAAAGGAGGAGGAGGAAGGAGGAGGAAGGAGGAGGAAGGAGGAGGAGGAAGGAGGAGGAGGAAGGAGAAGGAGGAAGGAGGAGGAGGAAGGAGGAGGGTGCGTTATTGTAACTGGATCAGACTGATAATTGTGAAACGAAATAAAACTTTAAAAAGGGACAAAATCCGTTAATTTTCACACCAATTAAACAAAAATCCTTGGCATAACATCTCTATAGAATCAAAATAACACCGGTAATCCAGAGATACACAGGCATGACCAGTACGTCCTGTTATTTGACAGGATAAAAATCAATACCCAACTTGAACTACTAATTTCTGTTTGTCTCACAACAGGTGCAACTTCCACAGGCAGATAGATAGATATATATATAGATATATATATATATATATATATATATAATATAATATACATGTATACACAGCTAACTTCAACATTTCCAGATTTTGAGATCAGTCAATGTGATGAAATCACAATAGACTTACATACAGTCCTATTCATCTAAATTACATTTTAAACAATACTATTAGCCATAATATTCACACATAAACACTATATGGGCACTTGTGTTTCATTCCAAGAGCCCTTTAATAATAATAATAATAATAATAATAATAATAATAATAAAAATAATAATAATAATGATATAAAATAACAATTAAAAATAATAACAACTAATGATGATAATAACAATAATAATAATAATAATAATAATCCCCATTAACAATCAGTTACAACACCTGGTCACATTTTATCACAAGGGGAAAAGCACAGAAGAAACACATAAAGTAATTCAATACAACAGGCAACACCAAATCTGAAATTTTTGAAAGAGCATCCCTTTCATCAAATAGTCTCTTTCACAAATAATGAAATGGGAAGGCTTGGCAACCATATCTTTCAGACTCCATATATACAGGTGAAATCTCAAAGGATGAAAGATTGACACAGAAAAATGCAAAGTAAAATTCTAAATATCTCTAAGAATGGCTATATAATATGTGTCACGACACAGTGGAATCAGGCGTTAGTCAACTTTTGGGCATGAGGAGTCAATGATATCATCGTAAAGCTTGTTTCTTTGTCTTGCATTCGATGAAAAAAAAATACCCATCTATCTTGAACAGAAGTCAAGATATTTCTGATTGAAGAAGTTGGGGGTCACCTGGTTTCAGAGGTAAAATTATCCAGAAAATGGCCGCCAAGGCTTGGTAATTTACATAGGTAGAGAGTCATTGGGAAATGAAAATTTACTTTTCCGTGTCTTTAATCAATGTTATTCAGTATAATCCTTAGATTACAGAAATGGGTTGTTAAAGAGACATGAAAGGCGTTAAGCCAAAAAGCCAAAATTCGAAAAAAATTTGTTACATCGGCGGGAAAAGGCAGGTTTTTTAAAATTCCATTATTTGGATGAGTGTCTGATTTCACCACGATGCCTCACATATTATCTGCTGTTCCAAACTGGCCTCCCATCTACTAAATCTACGTAGTAATCACACAAAGGGAAAACAGCAAAAAAGAAAAATTATTGCTGCTCCACTGGGCCAACTTCACTGTTAAATACAGCACCCTGAGCAAACATTGTACTCAACTTACGATAGCCTATTTTAAGGAAGATCATCCATCCTTTTCGGGAGTATGCGCATGAACACTGTTATGTCCTAGACAAAGAAATGCTAAAATTGACGAACCAATAGGAAGTTATTAAGTCCAAATCAGAAGCAGGTAGACTCACAATTGTAACCTTGGCTCAATGGGCAAATGTAGCTCATCACTGATGTCCATTTAATCAAACAACCAATGTTTTACTAGAGGTTTCAAAATATTAGAATGGCAAAGAAAAGCCTATAGCTTGTTCCCTTTCGTCTGTCCTCATTTAAAAAAAAATTCTGGCTCATTTATTAATTAACTATGCCCTTGAAACTTTGCATGGTACTTGTGCAGGCCAGCGACCAAACAAAAATTATTTTTAAAAAATCTTGATCCAGTAATGTAAAAAGTTTCTCAATCTGGGCCCCATATTAAAAACCGCTCATTGGGTGCACATACAAGTTCACTAAAACAAATTACTTACAATCACCTAGCCAACAAACTGCTTTTACCACCCTGTCCCTAAAGTTCATTGTAAGCCTGTAGATTTCATCCCGTGACTGTCAAGACATTTCAACGCGAGTCTCGAAAAGTACTCACCCTGTCTGTTGGACGGTGTTTCTTAGGATTATATTAAAAGTGTAGTGTTGAGGCAAATACGTCAACTTTTTAATAATTTAGGTGCATGCTGTAAATCCCTTATCATTTTTTAAACCCACTATAGGCTAGTATATATCAAAGAAAACATGTTAGAACCTTAGTTTGTAGTTACCTCTATAAAAAGGCTTTTAGATTCTGTTGGTCATCCAACTCTTACATCCATATGCAAAAGTGAAAAGATCAAGCAAAGCGCTTTAATCTTATCTTGTTTTAACTGCGGTAAGATGAAGAACAAGCTATAGTTGATGTGCGACATACAAGGAAGACAGCCACAGACTGTAATATAATACAATCGATCACAGTAACAAAGCATAATAATACAGCAACTCTTCAGGGTCCTTCAGAGAAACTCTCTGGCATTTCAGAAAATTGCACTATAGGAAATCTTAGAGTAAAAGACAGACATTTTACCACAAGACACAGACATGATGAACCACTGAGGTAGAAGTAGAATGAAATAACAACAACTTACTTAAAACATAATCAGCCACACAACAAAATGCTGACTCCGTTGTAATTTTGACTACAATCAAAAGTGAAATTGTGATTCTATGGGATTCTTAAAAAGACAAGAATAAAAAAAATAAGATGTGCTTTATTAATCCATAATAACTGAAAGTTAATAACAGTGTATTTTTCTTCTTTCACACACACACACATACAAACAAGCACACACACACACACACAAACACACTCACACAAACACACACACACACAAATACATAGCATCACATTAACACCTTACATTCTCTTCCGTTATCTTTTATTCTATTTATCCCTCTCTCACTCATTTCTCCCCTTGCTGCTAAACACATAACATGGTAATTGTACAGGCAACCACAGCAAAATATTACATTTGATTAATGAAATATAAAAGTGAACATTCTTTCTTACGGTAAAAATGATAAAACTTGTATTATTGTAGGCAAAAATGATTTCAGGAATATCTCTCTATTTGTTTTAGGATAGATTTGACCGCCTGCAATGCCCTGAAAATATGTGCTGGAAAAGAGAGTGCATGAAGTCAGTTAGTTTCTCCGGAATTATCATGTGACATTGTTTTCCCAATATATATATTGTTGAGATTATTTCCGGTGAAACCTTACCCTCTACACCTAGATGCCTTTTTTAAAATCAAAATTCTACTGACTTCAAATTCTTATTTTTTTCCTATTTTTCCATGCCAGGCAGTTGGTTGCACAAAATGTGAGGACACTTGAAAAAACATGATTGATAATATTAAAGACAATAGTCTTTTATATGAAAATAATATCTTCAGTAGCTCTGGTGAGCATCTTTCTAAAAAGATGTGGCATTATCCTGTGGGGACAACAGGCTTTATCTTGGATAAGCCACAGACAGGATAAGTCTCCTTTCTCTTTACGATTTATAAGCAGCACACTGTTTTATCAAAAAAAGGGACCTTTCCATTTTGCAAATTTCAGCACAAAAATCAAAATATGCTTTTACTCTCTTTCTAATTTACTTTTGTACCATTAACTTCATTACTTTGCCTTTTTTATAAAAGGTTTCTTTCCATTTGGCAGGCCCGGATGTTTTTTTAAATGTCATAGTGATCCACAGCTCCTACATTTAAAAAACCATTACATTTTTTTCTTACAGGGAATAATTTCTTTATAAAATTTCATGGGAGAATGCACATGTTCACCTAATTCTTCAATATCATTCTATGAAAACAAAATAACTAATCAATTTGTGCAGGCAAAGCAGTCTTAAACATTCACTTTTATTTAACAAACAAAAATACAATTTTTCACCAGTGTCATATATAAGTATTTAGCCTGGGCCTAAAGAAGGCATCAGGAACATCAAGTAATTGCCAGTTTCCAAATGGTGGCAGGGTCTTTTTAAGTTTCACAAAATTAACAAAACAGGATAAGCATTCTGCTTCACAGAAACTCTCATAATATCACAGAAAGTACTTGTTTGAACATAAGTTCACTAAACCAATATGCTCTGCAAAGAATGAAATGGCCAAGCAAATGTACTTTCATGATTAGAACTGAAAAGAAGCATTGACCACCAGCCACACAGGCATAAAGAAAGGGTACATCAATGTAAATTCCAAAACAAGCACACCGATTAAATGTAAATATACATGATAGAAACATTTGAAATAAAATATGGAAAAAATTTCTGAATTTTATGTACTACAATTTAAGAATAACTACGCTAGTTCTTACATATTGGAATCATACTTCATTATACACATTCATAAATCTTAACGCTGCCGTTCTTGTTAACACTTTTCACCCACGAAACGTGTACAGCGCGCAACACATATCCCCACGGACCAAGATACAGGGGAAAAGGGATGGCTTCTTACTGTCACCGATCGGCGTCCTGAGGGGGCATAGTGTCAAGTCATTTTTGGAAACGAATGAAGAAAAAAAAAAGCATACAAATGTAACCAATTTTGAATCACTTATGGAAGTAATACGTACAAGTAAATAGAAGTAACAGTATGGAACTCAGAGGGGAAAGTAACCAATCTGTTACAGTGTGTACTTCATGTCCAGGATGAAGGATGCTTTATTTTGGGGGGGGGGGATTTACAGAAAGGGTGAGTGGGGCACTCTGAAGCTGTACAGAGAAGGAATAGGGTATTGTTACAAAGTTTGAAAGAAACATTGCGAAGATCATTTGACTGGTTCTACTGTCTATGTTCTGAAGATTATGTCAGATTCACTGCCTTAACTTCTGGCCCCGAACCAGCGAGAATACTTGTAGAACAGTTGCTGTTCTACCCACCTTGTTATGAGAATACTGGTAAAGCTATATCTGTTACAAAAACTTGTCCAGACCGCTTATCCATTTCACAAAATAACTGATAGCTTACACTTTTAAAATTCCTAACCTCTTTTCAACTAGTCTGCTAGCTATATTGTAATAATTCTTACTATGCTGAAATTATTTAAATAACAATTTTCTCTCGGCGAAATGTGAAAATTCCAAAGAGACTGGTGCACTGGTTAGACATGATAGACGTTTAACCGAACAAGATTGGATTTCATTTGCTAGCACGCACCAGGCCCAGGTGGAAGCAGTATACAGCTAGATGCAGGGCACGGTGATTACTGTACAACATCACATCCCATTTATCTTGACTGCAAATGAGAAAAGAAGATGGAAATCAAAGAGAACAAAGTTGAAGAGAAGCAACGTGTCATCAACTCAGCCATACCAATGCTGCCAAAATTTTGTCATTCATTTCTGTCCCTTTGTATCAATTGTATGAATACATGTAAAGTCCAGGGCAAACAAGTAATGTTAAAAAAAACTAGATCAGCAAAGATTGCTAAATAGCAAAGTTAAGAAAGATGAACAGATATAGCACAAAGTCAGGCGCCCAATGCTCCCAAACAAAACAACAGCTGGCCATATGACACTCACTTTGAAGGTGAGAAAACGAGGTCAGGCCCCATCTATTTGTTCCAAAACCTGAGGGGACAAGCCCACTCCACATGAACCGCACGTAAGAGCATGTACACACTGGTGACTTAATACAAGGCTGAAAAAAAAAGTTCTGATCAAAGACCTTTTACTGTTTAAAACCTCCTTTTTATCTTCTTTCAAATCCCATGAGTTAGTAAATTGAGCATGGTGCTATACATCTGTGAATTTTCATCTTGGCTGTTAAAATTACCATAATATGATTATTACAAAAATAGACCTATATCTTAGCCAGCTGCACCGTAAAAGAATGTTTTCATCTGTGGTATTTTCCTCTTTCGCAGGCTGTCAAACTCACAATGTCGTACCAACCCCAACCCATAAGCATAGTATCAAACAAATAATTACGGAGCACTTTTCCTACAAAGTGTCCTTCTCTACAGTTGAGCTTTTTTCCCCCCACAAATAGATACATTGCACAGTGAACTTTGTAAGTTTGTGACCCTTTGTTCCCAGCAGGCAAAAGGGGGAAAAATCTAATGATTTGAAATCATTTTCTTCATTTTTATCAATTAAACTAATATGTTTTCTAGCGTCCTGACACAAACACAAATGATGGTTCAATCAATGCCTTCTTAATACCTCTCTCTCATACTCCGGTAAAAGGTCAAAATTCCTTAGCCAGAATCAATGCAAATGTTTCAGTTCATATCAACTGAAACCCAACATTTCTTTAACGAAAAAAATACATAAAAGACACAGAGCATCTAGATTCGGAACTTTCTTTTTAACAATAGAAACTGCTTCAGCCTTTTCTGTATTATTATAATACAATGCAACCGGTGCAGAATACAATTCTGTCAATGTTGTCAATTCAACTACATGTAGTAGATACAAGTACAGGAGAACACAACAGGCAGTAACAAGATTATCTTCTCATCACTGTATTTGTTGTATAAATGTTTTTTCGTTCAGCTTGTGAGCTCAACAATTAATGTAGTTTAAACAGAATTATTTCCTTGTGATCCTCTCTTATAACAAGCCATAAAATGAAAGCGAAAGGGTAAATAAATACAACATACTTTTCATTATTTGACAGCAACAGCACATTATCGATGAAAAGTCAAAAGTTTTCACAGAAGAATAAAAATCTCAAATTTACACATTACAACATGTGATTCTACAGATATGATTTCAACTTTTTTTTCACCTTCAACAAATCAGAAATTTTAACACCAAAAACAGGGACTGTGCTTTCTCGCTGTACTAGACAAGACACATACTCATGGTTCACATTATAAAACAAATTTAAATGGCACTTATATAAAGATATATCTTTGTGGGCTGGACAGATATCATGTACGCCTCATACAGTGAACTGTGCAGTGCATGGTAAACACCAGACTGATTTGGCAATCACTGGAGCAGCATTCAAGAGGAAGTTCATATCAAATGAATGTACAACAGATTGAGCAGAACTGATCAACATTCTATTGCAAGCCTGAACCTGCTGTGGAAAACAGAAATAAAGATAACACTGTACAGTAGACAGAGTGCAAAATGGAGTCTTATCACCTGACAGCACATGCACCTACATACAAAAAAAAGAGACAATTTCACATCAAGAGAACTGTCCCATCTGCAAATTGTAGTATCTCTAAAATGCCAAGCCGCTCACAACCCAGAAAAAGATTCTTCAGAAGCATTCCGTGCAAGCTGCCATTTTACAGTCGCTTGAACACTAATATACTGATAATAAGATCTTTTTATTGTCTCACTCTGGAAGCTATTCATGCCTGGTTGAGGTGAGAAATTTGTCAAAAGTATCTTTATTAAGGATACCGGTAAAACATTGGCCTCTGCTAAGATTCAAAGACGAAAAACAATTATAGTCTCTAGGAGTTTAACCATTAGAATATCAACACCAAAAAGTAGCAGAAAAAGGGACAGTTCTTTCAAACTTACGTCACAGGTTTATACTGCACAATATCAATAGAAAACTGTTCATCCAGGTGTTTAAAGTAGTGAGCATTTAGCAAAACAAAAACTTTGTAAAATAAACAGATTTTAATTACAGTAGCAAGGGTATTTCACCATGAAACAAATTTCCACTAGCAAACTAAAATTAAATTAGGATTCATCTTAAAAACAAAGCGTCTGAAAAGAACCTCATTCAAGAGCAGTTCCTCATCCTCTGTCAACATAAATAGGTAAAGAATAAAATAATTACTACTTAACAGACCGAATGAGTCTCTGTGTGTAACCAACTCAAAAATGAAGCTGAAGTATTTCTTTTAAAATCAATAATAAGTACTGACAATAAGACTTGACAAACAAAAGTAAATTATGCAAGATATGGCTGGGAATATATTTATATAATCATAAACCTCAATAACCTGAGAAAATGATCTGTGGATAAATTTTATCAGCTCATAGAATTGGGGGGGGGGGGGCAGAGGGACACAGCCTGGGAGAAGAAAAGCCAATGAGAGGGAGAGAATGAGAGGGAGAGAAAGAGAGGGGAGAGGAACAAAAGGTCTAAAAAGGAAAGATGTGAGGGGTGAGAGTTGATAGCACAAAAAGGAGAGGAGTAAGCTCTAAGAACGTCACTTTCTGGAAAACTTCTCAGCAAATTACAGGACAGCATGTAAACTACATTTTTTTAAAATATCCATACATGATAAAACAACTTTCCTATGATTTTTTATTTCTTTCAAGACTGTGAATGAGTTTGGAGTACATGACCAGTAAGCACAATATCCTTACACTTCTCAGGGAGTAGTCAAAGGAAACAGTTAATAAACATAGAAGGCATTCAAGAACCTACCATCTACATCTCTATAGCCATTCATATCAGTCCTTTTATTCATTAGAGACACAAAAAAGAGTGGTAGCTTCTATAGAAGACGCAAAAGTAGTCTCACCGGGCTTTACCAAATCCTTTATAAAAAATATGGTATTTGCAGACAAACGAGAACACTCTAATCTGATCAAGAAGCCATTCTAGAGTTTCAACTTTTAAAATATTGTCAAGAATTTTAGTGCTGTCCACTAATACTAATAGTAATACTTTACACACAAGAGTTGCAGTAAAACGTTCGCTTCATTGTGAACAGACATTACTTCTATTCAGCTAACACCAATTTTTAACAATTAAGGAGAGTGTGAACCCCAACTTTTTAAAGACGAAATTTTTAGAAAATAACAGCCACAAAAGAAAAAAAAAGGAGACCAATGTTTACGCAGGATATCAGGCATCCACAATATTTTTCTTAATTATATAAAGATGAAAATGACTGAATCCATCTTCAAAGCTGCTCTTCAAAGCAAATATATTGCTGTTGTTTAATCTTTCATAAGACAATAAGATTAACTTGTTGACATAAAAGGCCATTTTTGTCAAGACAGGAAAAAATTAATTTTCAAGAAAAAAATTAAAGTAGGTCTCTCCAATACATAAAAAAAATAAACTAAACAGATAGGTATATATGAGCTAGGGATGCCACTCCCACTAGGTGCACAGTAGCGACTATCCACTTCTTTAGAACCCAATTGGAAGGAATGCGGAAAATGAAAAACAGAACACTAAAATATTTTAAAATCTGAAAAAACGGAAAGTTAGTTTTTAGCAAAACAGTCTGTAATAAATTGTAAGCATACTACAACAGGAGCATAGAAGAAATCCCAAAAGGCAAAAATTTGCACTTTTTTTACACTGGTCAGGTCAAACAGACCATTTCATTATATTAGATGCTTTCCTCACACCAGAAAAGGTATTCAAATCATAGAAATAACATTATCAAAACAGGCAAGAGATATGGGAAAGTGTGAAGAATTGTATCTGTACTGGCCTTTTATGAAACACAATGTTCACAGCTGATCATTATCTCACTCCTTAACAAATTCCACTAAAAAGAAGGTGACCCTAGCTCATACTCTAAACAAGGCATTCTTTAACATATTGCCTGAAGAACTTTCGAAGTTCAGGTCAGTTACATATGGGTGTTTAATCAGAGGTCCAGCCTCTAAAACAACCATATTGTGATGAAGCAGGTAGAAGACCCCTATAAGTATCTTATCAAAAGGCTCAACCGATATTTCATTTATAAACCACAGAAGTTACAAAGCTTAAATGAAATTAAGTGTAAGTGAAGACTGATTAACAAAATGGCTGGCAAAGCAAAGATACCAGGTTGTGGGTGAAAAGGAGAAAGTTGGAAACTCTATGGATTAAACATACACAAATTAATTTTTTAAAATCTTTGTTACCAAATCAATCTAATCACCCGCAGAACAAATGGCAGGGTGTTTGTGGTTAATAAGCAGCACATGACACATCCAGGAGGGTACCTCCTCTCCCTGAGACAATAAAAGGTGTGCTCTCGAGTCACAACAAGGTCAACAGCACCACACAGCATCAATATTCAAAACAAATGTCTATTCCTTTCTTGACGGGTGTACACGTTTTTTTCTGAGAACTGACACAAACTGTCGTGGCAGCAAACTTGTAAGCCTGCCCGGAGTTGAGGGGAGGGGGGAGGGGGGGGGGGGGTGGGTGTTACTGAGCTTACTTGAGGTTGAGAACTTCCAACATGAGCGGCTCCACGTCCACCGGGTTTACCTGTAGCAAGATCTTGGCATGCTCCTCGCTCAGAACTTTGAGGTCACACAGTCGGTCCAGGGCGCTCACGTAGTAATCCTTGGCATAATCGTAGGAAAACACAGACTCCAGGTAGTGCTTTAGCAAAATAATGTACCGATCTTGAATGGACGAGATAAACTCGCGACCCGTGACATTGAAGCCGGCTGGATCAAAAATGATCAGTGCCTAGCAAAAGAAAAAAGACAAATAGGTAATAATCGGTTAAATCACTGTTTCATTAGCTTCGGTAACAGATTGGCAAAGGTTGCTACACAAGAAGGTCAGATAAGTGCTGAAGACTAGAGGTATTACAAAAGAGTAACATGCAAAGACAAGATGGAGGAGAGATGAGGACAACAGATGTCTAATAAGAAAGAAGGAGCAAATTACACCAGTGCACCTGTTAACCACCCGCAAATCATGGTTTTACACTTCAAAGTATCATTTGTAAATATAATAATTTAAATATTAATGAGTGAATGAGAATGATGCTTATCAATATAATGCTATTCAAACACTGCAAGAGTAGACGGCAATCCCCAAAGTCATGACTTGCTGCTGCTACCCACAGAAAAGAAATTTAAACAGTGACCACACTTTCTACATACACTTTTAAAACCCTTCCCCATTTACATTTATCCTAGATATTTAAACTATTGACCTTGATCTTTTCACCTTTGCTTATGAGATTACGAATAGGATTTACTGCATTTTTAGATATTATCATGCATTCTGTTTTCTTCATATTCAACAATAACCCTTTACACAGACTTTCCGTTACAACAGTATCTAGAAAAAACTGTGTTATTGGCATTTCTCATGCCATTAATATTTTTGCCATTCACTTTAAGACCTAGATATTTTTTCACAATTCTAAGAATACTTTCACTGTATATGTTAAAGAGGTTTGGTGATATAACACATCTTTGCCTCACTCCTCTTCTAATCTGCTTATATTCGCTGTATTCTCAATTAACTCTAACACCAGCATTTTGGTCCCAGTACAAATTCCTGATAATTCTTAGATCTTTTCCATCTACACCTAGTTCTTCCAATATTTTAAAATGCTCATCATGTTTAACGTTATCTAAAGCCTTTGAATAATATACACAATGGATAAATACAGATCTTCCTGTCTTTCAAAACATCTTTCAATTAACATTGTCAAGATGAATATTGTTTTCTTGAGCCCTTGTCAGGAACAAAACCAAACTGTGTTTTAGATATCTCTGATCTTAGACTTTTTCTCATCTTCCAATTAGTACTTGCAGCAAGGTTTTTATAAGATTACTTAGAAGGCTTATTATGCTTTGCACATCACACTCAGTGGCACCTGGTGCTTAAGGGTAAAGCTATAAAAACTAACATCATCATATCTTCTGGAATCTAACCGCTGTCATAGACAGAATTCAAGAGCTTTGTTGATATGTCAGTGCCCAGTCTGGTGTGACAATCACTTCTACTGGGATATTACCAAGCCCTGTGATTTTTCCTTGTTTCATTTTCTTAATGGCAGCTTGTATTTCTTCTTTCTGTATTGATGGTTCATTTATTTATTTCTTTATTATAAATTTTCTCCTCTATTGCCTTTGAAAAGTTCTATGTATTCTGACTATCCATCTGTTTTAGACAGTCCCTTTATCAATTAAAACATCTCCTCCTTTTGATCCTACGCATCCTGTATTTGAGCATCCTTTCATCCCACTTACTTCTTTGATTTCAGAATGCATGTGTTTGCTGTTTTTGTTTTGATTCTTCTCTATTTGTTGACATTTATCTTTTATCCATGTTTCTTTTACTTCATTCCATTTTTTCAAAAAATTTCCCTATTCATTGCTGTGTGAACATATCTCATAAGGAACGATAATCCACTTCCCAGTGCTGTGTAAGCGTATCTGGTTCGGCGGCTAAAACTCGTGTATTGTTTCGCTGATATTTCTGCTTCCACTAAGTCTTGAATAAAGAGAGCAGCATCCCTTGAAAGCTTATCCTTTTAACTATGAGGTCATATCTATATAAAAACTATTGGATAGAAAAGGCGGGCTCTCCAAAATGAAAACGAAGCAAGGTGTTTTGTTTTTCTTAAACACACAAAAAAAAACCATCGTTCAAGACCTGACCCGTCGACTCGGAACGCTTTTCTCAGTTCTTTACACTTGTTTACATTATTATAGATTGCTCTACTCCGAGTATTGGCTACGAATATAACTATTTCTTTCTTTTTCCTTCAGCTTATATGTAGTCTGATGAGAAGTACAAGCTGTGTCACCCATATAACAAAACGAGGTGTGTTGTTATTCTCACACACATCATGCAACGCAGTCAACGCGTAGAATCAGAGCACTTGTTCAGTCTTAGTTCTTTCAATAGTTTATACAAGGTTATGTTGATTGGTGGGTTGTTTATGGGTTGAACATCGTTTAGATTTCGTGGATTACATTCGTTCAATAAATAGGTAGACAAAAGGTAGTGGTATTCTTCTTTAACAGGAAACAGGAAGTGCGTTTATAGTTGTAAAAAAAAGGGGATCATCCTGGTACAGCATATGATTCATGACATCAGAACAAGTAATTCACATTACAATATATCATAATATAATAATAATAATGATATATGTATATGAGAGCAGATAATTATATAAAACCAGGTATACCTCTTTAAGGTGAGTTTATCTATTAACACGTTATGGCTTGCTCTAAGCAGGTCTTGTCAATGGATGAATTTATCTCATCATTTATCTTTCTATTGGTTTAAGTTTTACCGATCTGTCTCTTATAATAAGTGAATAATTATTGATTTGAGACAGTGACATGTGACTTCTTGCACACAGTAGACTTTTCCTGAACATGTAGGGTGCATGAACGGTTAACAGTCAAGGGGTTAAGGTGTTATACTTTGCCTCATTTGATTTTCTCTGCCTTCTCTATCCCATTAATGTTAACATATCCTGGGTCATCCATTTCTTATTTGTATTTTCTTCCACAGCTTCCTGTGTTGAACGGTATATTTTCCCCCATAGTTCTGATATTTTCCAGAGGTTGAAATTTATTGCTTACAGCTATAGAAAAATGTCTTTTCAGTTCTTGATTTGCTTTTAAAAGATCTATTTCGAATTTGGTTTGGTGTTTTGTTTCAGTTCTTTTCAGTCTCATCTGCATTTTACACATGAGCGATACATGGTACCGTCACAATCACAGTCTGCTCCTGGCAAAGATTTAGATGGTTTTATCCTGTTTCTGAAAGAGTACGAAGTCTAATTGGTTTCATTTTTTGTCTCCAGGGCTCTTCACAGCGTATCGTCTTCTTGGGTGATTTTCATACCGGTTGTTTGAAATCATGGAATTATATCAGGCACAGACATCAGATAAAGAAAGATAGGACTCAGAGGGTCATTATTGCACTACATCTACAGCTGGTCTCACCTGAAGTAAGGCGTATAAGTTGAGGTCCTCCAGGGCCATTGATTTCACTCTCCTGCAATAGTACACATGATTATTGTGCAAGGAAACAAATCCTGTTGCATTTTTTAAGATGCTGGTGGGGATCTCACCCTTCGGTGTTAACCAAGCATCTTTCTCGATGTTATAAAAGAGGGCCGACCGAAGAAGGAGGGTGTTCATGACACACGCTTTTAAAGCAGCAATTTGATCTTCCTGAGTAAGATGCTTGAAGTCTTCTAGATGTTTCACAAACATTATGAGCTTCCGAACCACCACCTCAGAATGGTTGATGAGATCAGAGGCTTTCTGGTACTCTTTCTCGATGGAGTATGGACCCATCTCAGGCATTGCTGCCAGTGTACTGCGATAAGCTTCTGTGATGTCTGAGAGGAGACATTTGTCTGTAGAGGACAACTGATGGTACATGTTGCGGTCTGTTGGAAGTGACTCCTTAGGAACATGCTTGAAGATGATGTCCGAACTGTTGCCATGAGGCTTTCCATAAGGCGTAGGAGGTCTAGTGACCTCTGTGATGTGATGGAAACTCTCTTGAGGGATCATCACGCTATCTGTTGTATCCACTTCAGATTTGATTTGAACCGCTATTGGAGACGTAAGCATTGTGCTTGATCCTTTCCTGGCACGGTTAGCCATGACCTTGCTCATACGTTTCCTTCTCTCAGAATCATCTGTAACAAATTTTTGGAAGAAGTATACAATAGCTGTGTATACAAAACTAAAGGCAAGGTACACCTTAAGTTACTTAAGTAGCCAACACAGGAACTAAAATAGGAAGTATGTTTATCTATGTCAAGTACATTTTAGAAGGCCTGTCATAACCCCACCCCCTTCCTCCCCATTTCTCTTCTGTCTTAATTTTTTTTTTTACTTCCTCCTTCTATCTCTTTACTTACTCTTCACATGGCTCTACCCCAGATAGGTCTGTATGTGTGTTCAGAGTATGGGTTCAATGCCCTTATCAACACTATCAGTATATTTAAGAGGCGGGGGACCTCTGAATTTAATGTCCGTCTCTGATAGGACCAACTCCCAAAACAACCAAAGTTCAAGAATGCCCAATCTGGGATTTGAACCAGGGCCATTCGCTCCCGGATCCAGTATCCAGTGTGGTACCATCTGAGCTAACAGAGCACCCAGGTAGGTCTGTACCATATAATTCAATAAGTAATAATAGAATAATACCGTAAACTATCAAAATGAGACAGGAAAAAAAAACCTGAAATAGGTCAAAACCATTTGAGCAGGACGAATGGCTATCCTTTCCTCTATTCTACTGCAGAAGAAAAAAAAATCTGCAACAACCATACCTAGAATCATGTCTCGATTCATGCCAATGCTGTAGCACTTTCTGATGCGACATGCCGGACAGAAACGCCTGGTCCTTAAGTCCACTACACATTTGTTGTCAAAAAGGCAAACCATTGACTGAAAAGTAAATACAAAAAAATGTTTCTTTAATCTGGTTCAGTGAGAACATGGAATGTCGTATCTGCCATCTGACAGTGAGCAGCAGATTATGCTGAGTCAGCACAGATATGGCCATGCCCCCTGGAATAGATAAGGACATTAGCAATAATGGAAAAAAGCAGCAAAAGAGGATCATACTACACGGCCCATTAACAAAATGCTCTGTCACCCATTAGGAATGTAATACATAATCATACAGAAAACCTTACTTCAATATCTTTTTTAGGCTTGAAGAAATGATTTTAAAAAAACAGCAGCAGGAGCGGGGATTAAAATTCCAGTTTCTCTCCGAGTCTCTGAGTCTGAGTAAAAGGTACCACATTGACACAATAATAGTCAATTCGTGCTGGGAAAAAAGGTAAAACAGACAGAAACAAGAGGGAAAGTAAAGAAGTAGGACCTACTTGTGGCACCCTCCAACCACCTGCTCCAATTTCTCAAATCATAAGAAGAAAAAAAATTAATGCGATAGAGAAAAATTTAAAGTAAGAGCATCTGTACATCTTAAATTGTTCTTAAGTTTATCTTTCAGGCATTTATCTAGAAAGGGCATCATTCTCAAAAATACAGCAGTTTTTAGAAAATTTGCATTGCATTTTTCCCACTTTTATGTAAATTTTTAAAAATGAAAATCCTCCTCGTCCTACTCACCACATGTTAAATTCTATGTCAGAGCTACTGACTGTGGCACAAAACATCAGCACAGACACTTAGCATGGATGCCCCAACTGAAGTCCAAACAAAGCATATCATAAGGAGACAAAGGTGAAAAGACAGTAAATTTTCATGCCTAGAATTAACAGACACTGACTTTATCACTAAGACAAAACAGACAAAATTAGTCACCTTATCTTTCAGCGCATTCCTCCGGAAAAATGCCTTACAAGATTCACATGTGATGGCATTAAAGTTGTATCCCAGTGCTTTGTCTCCACACACGCCACACGTTTTCTCATCTTTCAGCTTCATCTTCCGACACGTGAAAGAGGGCTTCTCCTCAGCCTCCATCCCAGACGTGCTGGGCTGTTCCGGCTGCCCTTGGCAAGTCCCCGCGCTGGCACTGCTGGACGACGCAAACATCTCATCCTCTGACATCATGCCAGAGGAAGCCTACAAAAAAATACAAGAACATTTTTACCGCAATTGCAGATGTTTTACATGACACTCCCATCAACATATAAATCATTAACACATTGCGGTCACTTCAATAAAGTGACGGCGAAAATTGTTCCGGTCACGGGCCCGAAAAGTCTGTTGCAGTCGCTCTTCTCGCTGTGTGATCAGATAGGGTATTGTGTGACTGCAAAGTGTTAAGGAGACAAACTGCTTTGAACCTGCATGTCAGGACCACGCCAGGCAGAGAGGGATACAATTTCTCAGCAGAAAGACTAGAGACACTCAATAAAAATTCTCTACACAGAGTTTAAGCTTCCTCCCCCCCCCCCCCCCCCCCTTCCTTTTTACTTCCTCGTAACATGAAAATATTTTGAAAAAAAGATTCAAAATTTACTGGAAAATAATTAATTTGTAATGGGTTTAGCGGCCCTGGGACCTATTATGATGAGAGTTCTGCAGCCAAAAACACAACAGGGAGGCAGTCAAAAGCAATGCACCTACATGTGGAAGTGGAAATAAAAATTTACCTAGGATTCTCCTCGTTCTCACCCCCGCAACCTCTCAAGACTTTAATAATATTAATACTGCCGCTCGTTCATAGGCACATGCCTGTAAACATCCCTTTATCCTGAGAAGACCCCTTTAACAGCCCACAAAAGGCAAGGATTTTGAACTGTTAAACAAAAATAGTATGCGACGCCATGATGAAATCAGCGATGATCAGCTCGTTACGCATGATATCCTTTCATTAAGACATCACGAGACGCAAATGTTTGCTCTTCTTACAGCTATATGTGTGAACAGCCAAAACACCTACTTTGCAGATCCTCCCAATAGTTGGAATATTTTATAATGCACCAATAGGTCTGCAAGTTATGTATAGCTCGTTCACTTTCGTCTGACTGCGGTTAAAAGGGGATAAATAAAAACAAATCGCACTTTCTGGGTTTTTGCAAGCGGGTTTAAAAGTTAAGCGACCAACAGAATCTAAAAGCCCATTCATAAAAGTCACTGCAAACAAACGTTCCAACATGTTTGCTTTGATATAAGCCTAAAGCAAGTCAAAAAAATAATAGGGGATTTAGGGGATTTACAGCATACACCTAAAACATTTAAAAGTTGACATATGTGAGGCATCGTGGTGAGATCATCCGCTCGTCAAAATAAATAAACCAAAAAAAACGGCATTTTCCCACCGGTTTGGGAATTTTTTTCGATTAAAAAAAAAATAGTTCAACACCTTTTAGGTTCACTTAAAAACATATTTCTGTGTGGACTTTACAGGGAAAAGTTAATTAAAGGCACAAAAAGGGTAAATTTTGAGCTTCCAATGACTCTCTAGTTATGGCAGTCGGCAAACTTTGGCGGCCATTTTCTCGTCAATTTTACGTCAGAAACCAGACGACCCCACCACCTTCAATCCTAAATATCTCGACTTCTATTCAAGATAGATGAACATTTTTTTTTGTCAAAAGCAAGACAAAAGAACAGTCAATTAGATGATACAAATACTTCAATAGGCCCAAAAATTGACAAGCGCCTGATTCCACCATGTCATGACACGTATGTATCATCCTCATCCCCACCCTTTAACGTTCGCCTTAGAAATACGATTCAAGAGATGGCGTGAGTATTTTTCGAGACTCATGTGGAGCCCGTGGAGACGTTTAGACAGCTGGGATATATATACATTATATATATATTAGATATGTATACACTATGTTTGCGAAACTTCCTGCCAAACCCTTCAAAAAGTGTTTGGGTGTCAATCTTTTTAATCCTTCACCCTTATAAGGATGTATAAAACGAGCTTTTACACATCACCAAAATCCAAGGGAAAATGCTAAAGAAAATCAATTGGCGGGGAAGTGGCGGGCTGAACGTCACAGACGTAGAGGGAGACGTCAGACTTGACTAGATATCTATTTCTATAAATATGGTGTTGAGTATTTGATTATAAACCCCTTTCCCCCCCCCCCCCCCCCCAAAAAAAAAGGACCAGAAACAAAGGCATAGATCACACTGAAATATCAAAATCAGAAAGAAAAAAAAATAGCTCAAATCAATAATGCCTTTAAAATACACCGACGCGTCAGTCGGGCTCCAGGAAATTGAATTAATTCACTAAATAAAACCACAAGTTCAGGTTGGTCATCAATAAATCAACTGGAGAGCAGAGAGACCTGGGAAAATAAATGTCGTTGTCCAGTGTGAAAATCTTATACAAGTTCCCTCCCTGGCGTGGGAGTTTGAAGCATCCGTTGGAGTTTCCTTGTTCCACTGACGGAAGCGGAGGTGTTAGTTTCAGTAAGGTATTACGGCGCTCGCAACTGCATACGGCCATATGAGTTGTCCGGCACAGTACGAGCATGGCATGAATAAGTCAGCCCATTTACAATTCTATTGTACATACGAACATGTTAATACCCCCCCCCCCCTTTTGGGAACGGCCTAAACACAGTACTGGAAAATAATTAATTTGTAATGGGTTTAGCGGCCCTGGGACCTATTATGATGAGAGTTCTGCAGCCAAAAACACAACAGGGAGGCAGTCAAAAGCAATGCACCTACATGTGGAAGTGGAAATAAAAATTTACCTAGGATTCTCCTCGTTCTCACCCCCGCAACCTCTCAAGACTTTAATAATATTAATACTGCCGCTCGTTCATAGGCACATGCCTGTAAACATCCCTTTATCCTGAGAAGACCCCTTTAACAGCCCACAAAAGGCAAGGATTTTGAACTGTTAAACAAAAATAGTATGCGACGCCATGATGAAATCAGCGATGATCAGCTCGTTACGCATGATATCCTTTCATTAAGACATCACGAGACGCAAATGTTTGCTCTTCTTACAGCTATATGTGTGAACAGCCAAAACACCTACTTTGCAGATCCTCCCAATAGTTGGAATATTTTATAATGCACCAATAGGTCTGCAAGTTATGTATAGCTCGTTCACTTTCGTCTGACTGCGGTTAAAAGGGGATAAATAAAAACAAATCGCACTTTCTGGGTTTTTGCAAGCGGGTTTAAAAGTTAAGCGACCAACAGAATCTAAAAGCCCATTCATAAAAGTCACTGCAAACAAACGTTCCAACATGTTTGCTTTGATATAAGCCTAAAGCAAGTCAAAAAAATAATAGGGGATTTAGGGGATTTACAGCATACACCTAAAACATTTAAAAGTTGACATATGTGAGGCATCGTGGTGAGATCATCCGCTCGTCAAAATAAATAAACCAAAAAAAACGGCATTTTCCCACCGGTTTGGGAATTTTTTTCGATTAAAAAAAAAATAGTTCAACACCTTTTAGGTTCACTTAAAAACATATTTCTGTGTGGACTTTACAGGGAAAAGTTAATTAAAGGCACAAAAAGGGTAAATTTTGAGCTTCCAATGACTCTCTAGTTATGGCAGTCGGCAAACTTTGGCGGCCATTTTCTCGTCAATTTTACGTCAGAAACCAGACGACCCCACCACCTTCAATCCTAAATATCTCGACTTCTATTCAAGATAGATGAACATTTTTTTTTGTCAAAAGCAAGACAAAAGAACAGTCAATTAGATGATACAAATACTTCAATAGGCCCAAAAATTGACAAGCGCCTGATTCCACCATGTCATGACACGTATGTATCATCCTCATCCCCACCCTTTAACGTTCGCCTTAGAAATACGATTCAAGAGATGGCGTGAGTATTTTTCGAGACTCATGTGGAGCCCGTGGAGACGTTTAGACAGCTGGGATATATATACATTATATATATATTAGATATGTATACACTATGTTTGCGAAACTTCCTGCCAAACCCTTCAAAAAGTGTTTGGGTGTCAATCTTTTTAATCCTTCACCCTTATAAGGATGTATAAAACGAGCTTTTACACATCACCAAAATCCAAGGGAAAATGCTAAAGAAAATCAATTGGCGGGGAAGTGGCGGGCTGAACGTCACAGACGTAGAGGGAGACGTCAGACTTGACTAGATATCTATTTCTATAAATATGGTGTTGAGTATTTGATTATAAACCCCTTTCCCCCCCCCCCCCCCCCCAAAAAAAAAGGACCAGAAACAAAGGCATAGATCACACTGAAATATCAAAATCAGAAAGAAAAAAAAATAGCTCAAATCAATAATGCCTTTAAAATACACCGACGCGTCAGTCGGGCTCCAGGAAATTGAATTAATTTCACTAAATAAACCACAAGTTCAGGTTGGTCATCAATAAATCAACTGGAGAGCAGAGAGACCTGGGAAAATAAATGTCGTTGTCCAGTGTGAAAATCTTATACAAGTTCCCTCCCTGGCGTGGGAGTTTGAAGCATCCGTTGGAGTTTCCTTGTTCCACTGACGGAAGCGGAGGTGTTAGTTTCAGTAAGGTATTACGGCGCTCGCAACTGCATACGGCCATATGAGTTGTCCGGCACAGTACGAGCATGGCATGAATAAGTCAGCCCATTTACAATTCTATTGTACATACGAACATGTTAATACCCCCCCCCCCCTTTTGGGAACGGCCTAAACACAGTTCAATCATTGGCATTGCCCTGGGGCGGAGGTGTGACATGACCAGCGGTGGGAAGGTTGACGACGTCATCCTTTCACGCACGTTTGGTTACAGATTGGGAAGCCGATATATGTATACGTGAAACTGAGATATGTTAATGTATACGCGGAAGGGGGGGGGGGGGTCCGAAAAGAAATGGAAGTTACGAATCAAACACTTTTCATGCAATGGACTTGAAATTTTCAGTCCCTCCAAACAACCCCCGCGACTTAGTGTGCAGGATCCCAGTCTCCATAGTCACTTCTGAAAGACACGACGATAGTTCGTATCCGATATGATTCGCAGCTCTGAATTGACAGCTTTTGATAGGTCCTGAATGCGTCCAAACTCTCACCAATTAAGCTTACTAAATAGTTGAATAGTTTGAATTAAGAGATACACATCGACACAATGACGGTCATAAAGTGCAGGAAGGAAGCAAGAC